ACTTGTTCAAATTACATATTCTATATATTTGAGTACAATACTATTTACTTGCAATTAAAATTTCTTTTCTCTGTGTACTATATAGTGAATAAACTCCAATCAGTAAATACAGAATACTTTACATAGATGAATGTATGGATGATCCATCTTTCATAAAATTTCGAACAAATTTATTTCATCTCCTCAACAGGAGAGGGAAACATACCCGCGAAAAATAGTGGAATATTCTGCGCAAAAGACATCTTTTATCTGTAATCATATTCTGCGTGTACATATGATAAATTTGTTTTGAATAATTTGATAGGCTTTTTTTCGAACCACGAAGAACAAAAAAATAGTTAATAACCGAAAATGATTGTGTATTCAGCGAACGATATAATTACATACCCATGACGCGTAAGGCAATGGAGAGGATTGGAAATATAGCACGTCATGCTAACATGAACCACCTGTACAACGGTGGATCTCTAGCCCGAGGAAATGACTTTGAATTTTCGGATATTATTTCGTTCCCTATCCACTATACACTGCTATTTGACATGGTACATACAGCATAATACTCCACAATGAAGCCGTCAGTTGGGCAAGCCCTTCAAAACCCGTTATAATTATTGAAAAAATACTTCTTCTCATTGATAATTGGACGTCTCCCTGTCAAATTATCATGTCATAGTTCGGCCCATTGTATTTTATGAGATGTTCGTACATTTCTCACAGATACACTGCGAGAACAAATTGTCTCTGCCAAGAAGACAAATCACATACATTCCATCGAAATGCTAATTATAACCTGTCAATTATAAAATCTAGAAAAAGAAATCAGGAATCTGTCTTTTTATTTTTATATTTTATTTATTTCACTAAGAAACTATTTTTGAAAAGTATAAATTTTAGTTTTAATACATTTTTAAAATACTGATCACCAGTAAACTGAAAAAATGTTTAAAAATATATTTGATTTTTGGAAAGTAAGAAAATAATTGAAAATATTCATGATATTCAGCGCGATTCTACACTAGTAAAAAATTTTGGAAGTTTCAACTTTTTTTAAAGGCGGAGTGTAAACCACGCCTCTACGCCCCCACCACCGAAATTTTTAATCAAAACTACGAAATATGCATACATCGAGTAGAAATTGCAATTACGGTTATACTTCCGAAAAGCAAAAAAAAAAAAATACTTGTCACAGGGATCGAAGAAATTTTTAAAAAGTAAAAATTTTGAGAAGTTTATAATAGAATATACTTTTCAGAAATGTTTTTATAACTTTTGAGTCAGATGAAAGACTTCTTACCAGCACCCTAAACTTACTTCCCACAAGTATTTTCTCGACTTTTCCAAACTAAACCGACCAAAAGTTCAATCCAAAACATTTCAAAAGTAATCTGTTTTTAAAGTCATACACGAAGAAAAATATTCAAGAAAAATTACGTAACATTTCAGTAATCTGCAAGCGAGAATGCTTTTAGATGATTTTCCGTAGAACTATAGGAGAAAGATGTCATCAAAAAAGTGCGAAGAAATTACGTAATTTTTCTGGACAGTAAAAACACTAAAATCTGACAGGAATTCCACGGATCATTATGTTCAAGAATTTTTACGTAACATTTCGTCAATTTTACGTATTTTTTTCGGATAATTTACATTGGGGATTTCTCTCAGATTAGATCAAGTTTAAGAGACTATTGTGACGGGAGAGGAAATTTTTCTCGGAGTATTATAAATTGATGAGTACACGGTTAACGCATGGCCTTAAGGCAAATACTGTAATGGCATATAACTAGGTTCATATGGTTGTTGCTCCAGGACGATCTTCACGTCTCAACAGCTGGAGGAGCTGGAAGCGGCATTCAAAGAAGCTCATTATCCCGATGTTTATGCCCGTGAGATGCTCAGCCTGAGAACGGATTTGCCAGAGGACAGAATACAGGTAAAGGAAAATTTTAATCAATAAACAACGCGATGAGTCAATGATACTCTAACCCAGCACTCAACAAACTGTGATGACAACACATTGAGAACACCATTAATTTTCTTCGAGCGATTCGATAATTAATAATTTCATTCTGAAGAATGAGGACGAGAAAAACCACGGGGATGGAGAAAGATGGGAGATGATTAAAAAAAAGACAGGGGTGTATGGAATCCCCTATGTTCGTCGAGTCGTTTTCGCTTGGCGACACCGAAACAAGGTTCTCTTTCCCCCTTCTATCACCAACTTTCTCAACGCCCACACGCTCTTAATTTCACTTTACCCTCTGTACGTGTGCATAATACATGTTTACAAACGACTATGTACACGAACAAAAAATATCCTTAAATCTAGTATACAGCGAGCAAAATATTCAATACAAATTACAGATCCATAATTCCAAAACGAAAAGTTTCACAGAATTTTCTCTAAACATTCTGCCATTTTTATTTGGTTTTCCACTGGAGAAATTATGAGTTACGTGATTTTCGTGGATATTTCTGTCTACGTATACTATACACTGAAACAAAAACGTACATTTTGATAC